TTTTTTTTTTTTTTTTTATACCGTTGGGAGTTTTGTTTCAGTGTCCTTGAAACGGCCTGCTGCGCCGATCAGAGAAGTGGAAGCGATCGAGCGGGTCCGAGTGAAGATTGCCGAAGAAGATCGCTTTTTTAAGGAGCTGTTGTACTTTCGGAATCTGTTCAAGGCAGGCTTGATCGGTAAGGCGGAACACGACCGAAGGGTGAAGGAGGAAGAGGAGGAAGAAAAAAGACAAAGTAAGTGATGCCGTTCGGCAGTTTCTTTCTTTTCTCATTTTTATGACTGCCGTTTCCTATCTAACTTGTGTTCTTATGCAGTGGCAGGTGGAAGGCCGATGAGTGAAGCGACCAAATGGCGGCTGGAGGGCCACGGGGCGCCGAAGCAGAAGAAAGGCGAGTCCCCCAGACCGAAGAAGAAGAAGGCTGCAGGGGCGTCCGGAGGGGCTTCGGCAGATGAGATGACGGTGGCCGATCGTCGCCGGGAGAAGAGGGTGGCCGAAGCCGAGACCGTTTGGGAGGTCCACCTCCAGGTGACGGGCAAAAGGCAGATCGAGGGTTCCCTTGACGTGACGCCGTTGCCGAAGAAGCCTAGGGGGCCGAGCGAGGGGACCTCCGTTCTGATCCCCGATGATGAAGGAGAGGGGGAGGAGGGGCCGGTCAACATTGTCTGCCCTTGGAAGGCCGTGCCGTTCATCAACAGCATGATCGATGGCGCCCAAATGGAGCTGTCAGAGATCGAGCAGCTGTCGATGAAGACGTTGCGCGAGCAGACCGGACGAGCCTTCCGGCTTCAGGCTGCAGTAAGTTTGTAGTTTTTGTTGATTCCAAGTGTTTTGGGGTTTGGTATGTACTAAACTTTGGATTGTTGCAGGCTGATATGGAAATGTAGCTCTGTGTGAAGCGAGCCGTGAATGCTGCCGAACGGTACCAGAAGAAATTCGAGGAGGGCTGTTCGAAGATTGCCGATGCCGGAAAGCTCATTCAGGAAGCCGATCGGCGGGCTGAACAGAATGCAGCAAAGATTGCAGAGCTCTCGTCTAAGCTTGCAGCGACTGAACTAGAGGTGGTGGCAGCGCACGATGCCAAGACGACAGTGGAGGTGGCGATGGATGCAACTGAGCGGTTGCATGCCAAAGAGGTGGAAGAGGCTAAGGTGAAAGCCGTGGCTGACTACCGAACCTCGGAGGAGTTCACACTGATGCTAGATAAAGAGGTCATGGAGCAGTGTGATGACATGGTGTACCGATTCAAGCGGTATAATGCAGATAAGAAGCTGAAGTTGAACTTTCTCCGGGATCCGCCTCCGCTGCCAGAAGGGGTGACCGAAGAGATGGTGGAGGCATACAAGGGAGAGGATGCCGATGCCGAATCTGCTGGTGAAACTGACTCAAGCAGTGGGGAGGAAGATGGTCATCCCGTGCCAACTGCTACCAGTGTGCCTGCTGCCGAACCGTCGACCGATCCTGAGCCTGCGTCAGCTGATGCCGAAGTCGAGACGACCGATGCTGAGCCTCCCTCCTTTTAGACTTGTGTATTTTTATCTTCATATTCTGGAAATGTACGATTTTTTGGAACATGCCGAATGACACTGTACTAAGACAGATGGCCCTTTTGTGGCCTTTTGATCTCAAGTTTGATTTGATTCGGTTTAATTTGCTAACTTCCGTATTCTTATGTGTGCATGCCGTAGGTAGTTTATTCTGAATATAGTATTGCTGTTTATGGTAATGCTGTATGTATAGAATAGGGAGTGTATTAAAATAAACTGATTACAAAGGTGATGACCTAAGGTGTGGTCATTTGTAGTAATATTTCAAATGTTCTACGTTCCAAGGGTGGCCGAGGGTATGGCCATCGGTACCGCGCAATCGGTAAGTTCCGGGTCGGCAGACGGTGACGACCTCATAAGGACTTTCCCATGTAGGGCCAAGGGTGCCTTCGTTGGAGTCCTTGGTGGCGAGAGAGACTTTGCGTAAGACCCAGTCCCCCAGTTTGAACGATTGGCGTTTGACGCGCGAATCGTAGTAGCGGAATGGTCCTGGTTTGTAGGCAGCATTCCGAACCTGGGCCTGGGAACAGTGTTCGTCGATGAGGTCCAGGTTGAATGCAAGCAGCGTTTCATTTTGCTCTGGCGTGTAAGATGCCGTACGGCACGTGGGTGCGTTGATTTCCACTGGGACAACGGCTTCGGTACCAAAAGCAAGGGAAAACGGTGTTTCGCTAGTCGACCGTCGGTAGGAGGTGTTGATGGCCCATAATGCCTTTGGGAGCAGATCGGGCCAGGCTCCTTTAGCTGGCCCAAGCTTCTTCTTCAGCGTCTTCTTGATGATTTTGTTAATGGCCTCTACCTGGCCGTTTGATTGTGGGTGTGCTGGAGATGCGAAGAACAAGTTGATCTTGAATCGGTGGCATAGGTGCCGGAACTGAGAGGAGTCGAATTGTTTTCCGTTGTCGGTGATGATTGCGTTCGGGAGGCTGAACCGACAAATTATGTTTTTCCATACGAAATGCTCGACCCTGGCTGCGATGATGGTCGCCAAAGCTTCGGCCTCGGTCCACTTTGTAAAGTAGTCGACAGCGACGATGGCGAATTTAAGCTGTCCCTTTCCTTAGGGCATGGGGCGGATGATATCTAAACCCCATTGAGCGAAGGGCCAAGGGCTGACAATCGGAGTGATTGGTTCGGCAGGCAGTTTTGGGACAGAGCCGAAACGCTGGCAATGATCACACCTCTGGACGAGTTTGGTGGCATCGGCATGAAGAGTCGGCCAATAATACCCTTGCCGTATGGTCTTGAAAGCCAAGGATCGGGCGCCGGAATGGTCCCCGCAGGCTCCTTCATGAATTTCTCGTAAGACGTAGTTTCCTTGCTGTGGGGTCATGCACCGAAGTAATGGTAAGGAATGACCACGCCGATAGAGGATCTGATTCAAAAGGAGGTATCGTGCCGATCGGCGGTGGAGAGTCTTAGCCTTGGTCTTGTCGTCTGGTAACGTTCCGCTGGCGAGGAATGCGTGGATTGGATCCATCCAACTAGGATCCTGCTGAACGGCATGTACCTCGGCTTCAGAGGTGCTGCGCCGAGCGAGGATTTCGATCGGCACATGGCGACCAACGTTGTCGTCGATGGCCGATGCAAGGCGTGATAGGGCATCGGCGTGGCTGTTCTCGGATCTGGGGATCTGTTGAACTTGATACGCTGCAAAGTGTTGGAGCAATCGGCGGGCGTGTGTCAAGTAGGCAGCCATCGAAGTATCCTTGGCTTCGAATTCGGTGAGCACCTGATTAACGACAAGTTGTGAGTCACTGCATATCCTGAGTTGTTTAGCCCCTATCCCTTTAGCGAGCCGAAGGCCTGCCAAAAGAGCTTTGTATTCTGCTTCGTTGTTGGAAGCCTGGAATTGGAAACGGATGGCATATTCGATGGTTGTTTGATCAGGGGCTTTTAGTACTAAGCCGGCTCCGCTGCCTTGTCGGTTGGACGAGCCGTCTACATAGAGAGTCCATAGGGGTATTGATGGATTAAAGGTCCCTTCGGTTGGATGGGCGACAGGGGCTGCCGAAGCCGGTCCGGGGGCGTCATCATCCGGATCTTCCTTTTCGAAAGTAGTCATTTCGGAGATGAAATCAGCTACGGCTTGATCTTTCTCGGCAGGCCGAGGGTGATAGTGGATGTCGAATTCGCTGAGTTCAATGGCCCATTTGACTAGCCGACCTGACATCTCCGGTCTCTGTAGTATTTGGCGCAAAGGCTGATTGGTGAGAACGGTAATACTGTGGGCCTGAAAATATGGCCGAAGCTTGCGTGCTGAGAGAACGAGGGCATAGGCGAGCTTCTCCAGCTCGGGGTACCGAATCTCGGCATCTTGCAGGGCATGGCTATTATAGAAAATTTGTAGTTCTATGCCGTTTGGCTTGCGAATGAGCACGGAACTGAGTGCCGTTGCCGAAACCGATAGGTAGAAAATGAGTTCTTCGCCGGGAAGAGGGGTGGACAATAGGGGCGCTCTGCTCATGTAGGTCTTGAGGTCTTGGAAGGCTCGATCGCATTCGGCAGTCCAGACAATCTGCCGTTTGCTTCCTTTGAGGGCTTTGAAGAATGGGGCACACCGATCGGTAGCCTTTGATATGAATCGGGCCAGAGCAGCGACTCGCCCAATGAGACTCTGAATATCTTTATGTGTCTTCGGTATCTGCATGTCGAGCAATGCCTTGATTTTTTCAGGGTTGTCCTCAATGCCTTGTTGGTTGATCATGAAACCAAGAAATTTGCCCGAGGAGACGCCGAAGGCACACTTGTTTGGATTGAGGCGCATGTTGTACTTCTTCAAGACATCGAACATAATGGAGAGGTTGTGGAGATGAGAATCGGCTGTTTTACTTTTGACCAGCATATCGTCCACATAAACCTCCATCGAGGTGCCGATGAGTTCAGAGAAAATTTTGTTCACCAATCGCTGGTATGTTGCTCCAGCGTTCTTCAAGCCGAACGGCATGACGTTGTAACAGTAAAGTCCTTTGTCAGTGATGAATGCCATATGTTCGCGATCGGCAGGGCTCATGAATATCTGGTTGTAGCCTGAGTATGCGTCCATGAAGCTGAGAAGTTCATGGCCTGCTATGGCGTCCACCATCTGATTGATCCTCGGCAAAGGAAAACTGTCTTTTGGGCAAGCCTTGTTCAAATCGGTATAATCCTGACACATTCTCCAGGCGCCGCTTGACTTCTTGACCAAGACCGAGTTTGCCAACCAAATTGGGTAGGTTACTTCGAGCCGCATTGCTTCGTACCATTCGGTATCGTAGGGTCGCCATTTCTGTCTGATGGGTTTGAAAGTGGGACAAATGCTGAGCTTGTGACTGATGACATGTGGAGCGATGCCGAGCATGTCATTGTATGACCAGGCGAAGACTTCTGTATTGGCGCGCAAAAAGGTAATGAAATCGGCACGCAATGCCGAACTCAAGGTGGTGCTGATTCGGACCTGTCGGTCGGACTGTGCCTCGGAGAGGGTGACCGATTCTAAATCTTCAATGGGTTGTGCTTGTGGGGTGACAGCCTCATCCCTGGGATCATCTGGTTTGTCCGTCCCTCTGCCGTTCGGCACAGTCATCCTGGTGGAAACTGAGTATGCTTCGCGAAGCGTAGCTCTTGCTGATTCCTTCATTGCCGAGACGTAACATGTCCGTGTGCTCAACTGATCCCCTCACACTTGGCCTACGCCAGCGTGCGTGGGGAACTTGAGGAGGAGCATGTGTGGTGAGAGCATGGCTTTTATTTTGGTGAGCGCCGTTCTGCCGATGATGGCGTTGTATGCCGTTGGGCAGTCGACTACCAGAAAGTGAGTGTAGATAACCGTCCGTCTGGGGACAGTGCCGACGGCGAACGGGAGCTGGACACTTCCGATCGGTTCAACCACGTCACCCGAGAAACTTAAGAGAGGAGTGATATCCTTGTTGAGGTGCTGAGGGTCTATACCGAGGGCATTAAAAGCGTCGGCAAATAGTACATTGACCGAACTGCCGGTGTCTATGAGGATTCGGCCTACATCGAATTCTGAAATATCGGCTCGTATGATCATGGGATCGGAGTGGGGGAAGATGACGCCTCGTTCTTCCTCTTCAAAAAAGGTGATAGGTTCCCAACCGTTTCGCTGGATCTTGTCGTTGCATCCCCCCGCTACATTGAGGATCTGGGGATGCCGTACGGCACGAACGTAGCTCTTGACGGATCGATTGCTGGTTTCGGCGATGGGTGCCCCTCCACTGATCATATTGATCTGCCGACTCGAGGGTTGATCCGGAGCCGTTTTGGTGTTTAGGTACTGATCCAGCTTTCCTTCGTTGATGAGGCGTTTGACAATTTTTAAAAGGGCGATGCACGATTCTGTGTCGTGGCCATTGTACTGGTGGTATTGGCAGAAGACTCCTGTGTCCTTCTCGGTCTGCCGAGGGAGCTTGCGATTAGTCGGCTTCGGTATCATCTCACTTTATGTCAAGAGGACATGCTCGTAAGTGGTGTTGAGTAAAGTGAAAATTTCCTCTGGCCGATTCTTTTTCGAATCTCCCAAGTCGCTTCGCCTGCCGGAGTCCTTGCCCCTTTTGCTGCTGTCCTGCCGATCCCGGAAGGTGTCCTTTCGTTTGTTTCGTGCTTCGTAAGGAGCAGAGGCAGGGGGTGCCGTTTGGTAGGGAGCCTGAGTTGTTGTCCGATTCGCTGGGAATCGGTCATAGTTTAGAGTGGAAGGCCGATTGATCGGTGCCGCTTTGCTTGATGGGGCCGAAGCCGATCCTTTGCAGTTGAAATGTTCGGCCTTGACGTGGATAGCTGCCTGTTTCATCAGCTCGGTGTAAGTGGTCCAGTTGCTGCTGTGGACCAGATAGCGAAACTGAGACGATCGAAGGCTCCGAAGGCTGCCCTATCGTCAGTTTCTGGACATCGGGAATATTCATGGTTGAACCTAGCCGCATATTCTCTCAGAGGCTCATCGTCTTGTTGTCGAACAGTATAAAGGTCATCGGCAGAGTACAGTCGATCGGTTTGAATCATAAAATGGTTGAGGAAAGTTTGCTTCAACTGATCGAAAGAATCAACCGTACCTGGTTCCAATCGGTAAAACCAATTTAAGGCAGCTCCGGTCATGGTGGAGGGGAACAATAAGCATTGGCCTTCGTCCATGAGTCCTTTGCAACCCAGAGCCAACTGGAAGGTATGAATGTGAGTTACAGGGTCTTCCACCCCTGAGTAGAACGATATTCGGAGTGCCTGGACCTCTTTTTCGTGTCTGAACGTTCGGATGCGGCTGGTGAATGGCCCTGGTTGTACCTTTCCCCACGTTGGCGTCCGAGGCTGGTTCTGTTCCTCCTCAATGCGGTTCATCTTCTGGAGGAGGAGACGGATGGTAGGATCGGTAGAGGGAAGATCGTCACCGAAGGGTTCCTTTGCATCTTTCTCCGTGCTCCGGCCAGCGTGGTGGCCTTGAGCTTCTTGACTTGCCGTTCAGCTTGGGCTTCTTTCATAGCCCCCCCTATGCCGATCATTTTCTCTATTTGATCGATGGCTATGGTGCTCCTTTGAAGGTCCTGCCGATCGGTGGGAGATCGTGGTCCCCGGTGAAGTTGGAACATAGTCTGATTCGTCCGTTTCTTCCAGGCCGATCACATCGTACCTTCGGCGTATGGGGGATTTTGGTCCAAGTGCCTCCAGACGTCGATCGTTGAGCTTTGCTTGGATCGGGATGGGCGAAGGCTATCACTCTTTGCGCCGATCGTTGATCCTATCACGGCAATCGAAGTAAACTTGATATTCCGAACGACGCTCTTTTGGGGAGGGGACGAACAGCCTTCGGGAGGCAGATGGCTTGCCTGCGGCTTGCTGCTTCCCTCTGTCCTGAGCGCTGGGCTTCCGCACGCTTTTAAATGATTTCTCCTGCCGAAACTGCATGGTCCGCTCCAGACCGTTCTGCAACTGGGTTGAGTGTGTTTGCTGGTCATGCAGTTGCCTCTGGGTGTCATCAAGTTTAGAAGCTAGGATATTGTTGTGCTCCTGCATTCTCGCCATTTCCCATTGTCGAGTCTCCATGCGAGCCTCCAGAGTGTTTGGTTGAGCAGGCGTTTCTGTTCGTGGTGTGTGAAGCAGGGGAGCTAGACTTGGCTCACCACCGATGCCGAGGATGGGGCCATCGGCAGGGAGGGCAGAAGATGGATTCATTTTTTGGTCTCAGAGTTTTTGAGATATGGGTTAATCGATAAGCGATTCCCACAGACGGCACCAATCTGTTGGCACTAAAACTGAACAGATAGAGATGAGTGCAACTTACAGGTGATGTGGACGATCGAGAGATTGATTGAGCATTGGATGCAAATCCTTCTTGTCCTTGGATGCTGATCCTGAATAGAAGAAAGCCAGGACTCGTAAGGCCTATGGAACCGGTGTGGAACCAGCCTAAGACCCTCCGATGCCAAAGTAAGTTTGTTTTCTAAGAGCTCTTGCTGTTGATAATATATTAGTATAAAAGTCAAGCTGAAAAGTCTTACCCCTGTATTGTAGTGAAGGGGCTTATTTATAGAGGGCATTTTGTATGCTCTTAGTACTTAATTTCAATGTGGGACTCGTGGGAGGGCCCTATGAGGTTGACACGAGTCTTTAGATATTTTGGGCGGGTGCTTCGAGGTTGATTTTGCAGAATCGGTAGGGGATACCGATTGTAGACTATGCTGGGCCTGTAGCGACCGTTTGTTGTTTTGAGACAATATCATCGGTAGCCGATGCTGATTGTTCGGAGCCTTGGGCACTTGGGGAGTTTCTCTGATCCACGTATCACTGGATGAGTGGAGGGTCAGATATGGTACAAACAATTATCATAATGGAAGGTGTCAATTAGTCATTTCAATTGGTATAATGTTCTTTCAATTTATGAGACCTATATCGTGCTTCCATATTTTCCCAATTTCATAATCAAAATGCAATGCGATGAGAAAACTTTCCTTTTCTTTTCCTTCATTATTATTTCACTGCTGGTGGTATGATGTGTTTTTCTTGTTTGAATAACTTCCTCGATTTTGGTAACTGTAATGACCATGACCACGACCTCAGCCATGCCCATTGTTGAGGCCCAAAAAATCCAAGGTTGGGCCCAAAAATATTCCTAGCCCAGTGCAATACCTTATTGAGAAAAAACTGGATTGAAGCACATAAAAGTTCGTCTTATGCGCTTGCACATGTGCCACGCCAGGCAAACAAGCAACACGCCGTGCTACAAGCTTAAGTGGGCCCAAGCCACTTAATTACCCGGGGCTTGCTGAGAAGGTTGTGGTATGGATGGGTACGAGCACTCACAGGGCCCATTGAGGGTTCAAGGAATGGAAAGTTTTAGGCCACTTGGGAGCACTAAAACTCAAGCCCATTCCTTAGGCCCAAACACATGGGTTAGCATGAGAGAGGGGGAAAAAGTGATCTGAAGCCTTAGGAGAACACCTCATAGTCTGCTGCAACACTTAGACAATCTCACGTTAGTTAAAACACCCAAAATAAAGCAAATAGGCTACTTCCAGCAGCTTGACGAAAACATGCAGGCCGCTGGAAAGAAAGTACCAATAACCCGATACTTGTGAACAAAGCCCAGCCCAGATCCTTGTTAAAAACCTAGCATCGTATTCCACCCTTGTTAAAGCTCCAGAACCAAGTCAAACAGAGGTCATCGCAAAAACCAATGGAAATCCATAGGACATGAGGAATACCCATGGGGAGGTCTAGCCGCATAGAAAGCCTTGGAACTCCAAAGAGCCTGTGACATATGCGTTCTGGTTGAAGAAATTTCACCAAAAGGGAGTGAATGGAAAAAAGCAAAGGAAAAGTGGGAATGGAGGATCGATAGAATTAGGGTTCTAAGCGCCTATAAAAGGGAGCTTTCTCTACCCAGCAAGATCATCATCCAAAGCGCGACCAAGCTTTATCAAGCAGCTGGGAATTTACTCAAGACACCCCATTCTCTATTCCCATCTCTACCTCCCTTCCTTAGTCAAAAATCTCTTCAGATCTCTCTCCCCCTTGCCCTGAATATTTGTTTCCATAAGAAATTCAAGCTTTTGTCTCTCTCATATTGCTACACTTGTGAAGGCTTAGCTCCCATGCCACAAGCTCCTCAAGCCAAGCCAATCCATTGCTAATCTGTCACGTTTATTTGGTTGATTGGTGAAAGAATCCAAGGTGTTTTCTAAAGTTGTCACTACTCCTTTCAAAACTCTCTTGGAGCTGTATTGCACTGGGCTAGGAATATTTTTGGGCCCAACCTTGGATTTTTTGGGCCTCAACAATGGGCATGGCTGAGGTCGTGGTCATGGTCATTACAGTTACCAAAATCGAGGAAGTTATTCAAACAAGAAAAACACATCATACCACCAGCAGTGAAATAATAATGAAGGAAAAGAAAAGGAAAGTTTTCTCATCGCATTGCATTTTGATTATGAAATTGGGAAAATATGGAAGCACGATATAGGTCTCATAAATTGAAAGAACATTATACCAATTGAAATGACTAATTGACACCTTCCATTATGATAATTGTTTGTACCATATCTGACCCTCCACTCATCCAGTGACACGTGGATCAGAGAAACTCCCCAAGTGCCCAAGGCTCCGAACAATCAGCATCGGCTACCGATGATATTG